TTTTTCCAAAGTCGGAACTCGTCAACAAGAAGTGACCACACGCATGTCATCTTGCGCGACCCTTGGACGCGTTTCGATGCGTGAATGCGGTTTTTTCTCCTTCGATTGGCAATTAAAAACCTCGATTAAAACAACGCATGCGGGTGCTATTTTTCCAGCAATAAATGGAACACGCTCTCTGACACATAGACAAACACGGTTTTTATTGAGTTACAGAAACTCCCTGTCTTCTCACTCTTTATTGACACGATTTCTTTCACACTGCGGTCGTAGAAGTAGGAAAATATTTCTCTATCCAGAGCACTTTTGTATTACCCTTTTACAGCGCACGCATTCGCAATTAATAATCCATTTGCGTCGGTCCGTTACGGAAAGATAAAGAGCCCAGCTGGCGAATGTGCGACTTTGGACTTTAGAAATTTAATGCATTTTACAAAAGACGAGCATAAATAAACGCCCGTTGTTTCGCTTTATATTTGTCAGAGTTAGATTAGATATATTCACACAATAATGAAAGGACTTGCTTTTGTGCTCAACACCCGATAAAAATTAAAAACGTGTCCGCGAGAGTGATGAAAAGAGATGTGTGTGGAAAAATGATCGGCGGGTGGGTGAAAGTGCTCTTTTCAGATATCCGCTGAGTGACTGCGGTTGCCCGAGGAGGATTATATTTATCCCTGCACGGACACAACAAACCCACCCACGCGAAAAGCAGTTCGATTAATGCATTTGTTTATCCATTCTACGTACACGTGAAGGGCTAATTAATTGCGAGTGTGGATCGGAGAGGAAGATAATTAAAGCGGCAATTGGAACAGGATTTATTGGCCGGGATTAAATTTATCTTCTCGAGCGGTGCTAATGGGCTGCGAGAAAGATGCTCCCTATTCAACAGCAGCGGCTCTCGCGTTGAATTCGGAGAGGACACTTCGTACTTGCTTTCTGGTGCAGATTTTATCGCAGCCCTTTTAATTGAATTAATGCCAAGAACTGGAATCTGATTCACGTTTTTGTCTCTTAAATACACAGATGTGCAGTTATTTTTACTTGCTACGTTGTACTGAAATAAAATAAATATTTTTATTGGTTTTTATATTTCTCATATAATATCAAGTGATTTAGTTAGCAAAATGTTATATTTAATTAAATTTTCAGATATTTTCCTCTTTCCATTTTAAAATATTTTGTTATAATATCATTTTTTGAAGCTTCAAGCATTTAATTAATTTTAAATTATTATTATTCTTTTTTTAAACAGTGCCCTCATAAATTTTAAAGCAATAATAAATTAAACTGTAAAATAGCTGTTTTAAAAACAAAATTTTTCAAAAATTTGTTCTTAAAGTGGCCTCTGGGTAAAAAGAGACAATAAGACTATGTACATTTCACACAAAGTTTTCTGGGAATGATTTTGACGTCACTATTGTTTGAAATTTAAACTCAATTGCTTATTTAATTACTAAAATAAATAGCTTAATTAACAAGCAATGGAAGTTTCCGCGTGTATCCCATGTTTTTATCAAGTTAAACAACCATAAAAATCCTCTCTGTTTGTCTTATTCACCTGTTCAATTAATTGCAAATTGCAGAAGTGTTGACCGAAGAGTCTCGCAGAAGCTTCTTTCCTCATCAAACACATGCCACTGTGCACAACCTGAGATGAAACCGCAAATATTGGGATAGAACGTGCGCGTCTAGAAACCACTGCGCAAATTTATAAAAGCATTCCTTGCAAATTCTGTAGTGGTAGTAATTAATAAGTCGTGTTAATTTATAATTGTGTTGATTCATTGCAAGTTCCAATAGTTATTTATTTCATTTTCAATGTGAAAATAATATATGCGTTTACATCAGAAGAAAGAACGAAAGTGGTTTGATCGCATTTTTGCAACATTTTGCACAGCGAAAGGGAAAGTCTAATTGCAATTGTGAGATGTTCAATTAACTTAACGTAGGATAAAACGACATGTAGATCAGGAGATAAGGATCAAATTTTAGTAAATGTATACTTGTTATTTTGTTTGCCGTTTTCTTGAAAAGGTTTAGCTGCAAGACGCACTTTCAATACATTATCTGTAATGTTATCGGAGAGGGGAGGGAACATACAAAATTTACTTTTATAAGCAATCCTCTATAAAAATTGTTCAATGGAATTGAGTGGAATATAAATGATATAAAAGAGCTTCAGAAAAATAAACAAATGTATATTTTTTAATTTAATTCAATGAATTCATAGATATATCAAAAGAATTTAAATAAAACAAATTAGTATTTCGTTACAACTGTTTCTAAAATTTTAATTAAAGTCGGTGTCTGAAGTTGTTTTGAATCAGAATTAAACAATTAAAAAAATCCGTTGTCCAAATAAATTACTGAGTAAATTGTAAAATAATTTTAAAAAATTATCTAGTCAGTCTTAAGTCTAATTGTAAGTAACGAATCTTGAGCAGTTTCAAGCGAAAGGCAGATAATTGAAATCACTAAATTGCCGGACAGCAGAAAGGCTACAATTTAATATAATAAATAAACCGTAAAGCCGGCAGTTTTGTGCTTTTCTCGGTTGACGTGCTTCGAATACGAAATTAGTTTTTCGCGATCACCCAGCCCGTCAGCATTTACACAGCGCTCGATCATTTTTGAAGTTTGCATTCAAAAGAAATGCGGCGTTTATTCACTTTCACTGGCGAACGCGTCTACCCGAACGTCTGCCCAGTTGCCGCGGACTGACTTAATTATACACAATCTCGGCACTCAATTAAAATACCAATCGATTTCCATTGATAACTCAATCGGAGAAACGAGACGGAGGCGCCGCACTAGAATTTGATGAAATTCATCTCGGCCAAGAGAATTTCCATTAAGACAAATTCCGAATTCCATCGGTATTTAAATACAACAATTAAAATTAAAAATCAATTCATTGGACACGTGTTGTGTTTTGAACTTTCCCGTCAATGTATAAATATATACCTGAAGGCGCCGACTGGTTTATATTCGGATGATCTCTCTGTCATGTGCGGGGAATTAGCAATAACGTCTTCTTCCGACTTGGTCGCGGATTTCCATCCTCGAGATTGATAATTACATCCTGAACAGGTGTCGGCGACGGTAGACGAAAAGTAATTTGAATATATATCGATGCTCTGTTATTATCAACCCTATAATTACGCATTTTTTCTACAAATTTGCTTCGTGTAACACGGAATAAAAAAATATTATAGGATTGGTATTATTTAATGGAGCAAAACGTAATTAATGTAATTATACATTTCTCTACAACTCTCTATAAATTGTATGTGGTCCTCAACCCCAATGATGCATGAACTATCAAAAGTGAATAATTTAATTAAATCGACAAATCATCCGTTTCTGTTCACAAAAACTCTCATTATTACATAATGCGATTAAACATTAAACCTATTAAAATCATTGTAGAAAGAAAAAGTATAAATTTAATAAATCAAAATGAAACTTTCACAGTTTGCAATTAAATTCACAGGCCATTATATAATTTAAAGTGTGTTTAATTTTGATCTAAGGGTTCAGATTCATGAAATAATTATTAATAATTATTATAATATGACATTAAAAAATCCTCTTTTTAATTTTAATTTTTGTCAATATTTCCACAATAGAAAAATGAACTTTCATCCTTCTTTTTTCTCCAGATTTCTGCTTCAGTGATTAGAAATAAATTTAAATTTTTAATTTTTTATTGATTCTTCTTACAGCAACCCAGGGTTTTTTTAAATTTTTCACACAATTTATCTTACATGATTTTGTAAAATATTTAATTTTGATACAATTTAACCATTTTCTGTTGCATCTTCTTTCAATATCTCGCCGGTTTTATTATTCAATACAAATTGCTTTTCATTTCTTGCATCACCTCACAAATCGTGCTGCACAACATAATTCACAACGCAAACACATCAGCCGGTAAGGCGAGCATCTGCAATAAATTGATTCGCGGCCGCACCACAAGATTCAATATTGCACCGCGCAATTTCCTCCGAGATGCTATTATTTGCTCATTGTTGCGAGTTTATTTGGTATCAAATCAGCGTTTTTGCGCAACCCGACGAAATGAAAGTGCACTTTGTGTATCGAGTCGCACACAGTTGGTGCAAAGACCTTTTGCGCTCACATTATTTATTTTCCACGGCTCCTATATTTGTAGCACACACGTTGTCCGTTTGCGCTCGCCGCGGATTATGGCATTAAATATCAGCTCACGACTCGGCGCCTATTGCAAAACGGCCATAAATCAGCCCATTGGTAAATAATGCTGTACGTGATTTTTGTAATTGCTGGCTCGAACACATCCGAATTCCATTCCAACAACAAAACACAATCGATTGGTACTCTGGGCTCTGGGGTGCGATTCTTCTCGCGTTTGCAAAGGTGCAATTATTGGAGATCAATTGCATGATCGCAGTCTTTGGGTTTGAGATATTGGGAAATTACGGAGCAAACCGTGATCAATCGCTGGTTAATCTTCACGGGATTATTTATTATTTGAAATAAAAACTTTCCAAAACACTTTTGAAATATTGCAGGCAAGTGAGTCATATAAAGTAAATTAAAAATAATTGTTGAATTTAAAGTCTTCTGCATTTTTGAACTTGCAAGCAATCTTTAAGTTTGAACCTATAATATGCTTTGTTTTAAATAAAATTACACTTATTTCACAAAAATAAACACAATTTTTTATTTATATTATTAGATTATTTTGTTTACTTATTTTTGAATAATTTATTTAAGAATTTGCGTAAGGAAATGATAAACTCATTTCTGCAATTGTTCTAATTGTTTTATGAATTAAAAAAAAGAATTAATTTTTTAATAATTTATAATTTTCTGGATTACATTTCCTTGATAATTTTTAATGGAAGCAGATTTAAACTCGTGCGGTTTTATTTCGAAATAAAACATTTTCAAGTTATATTCATTTCAATCATATAATATTGCTTCTGATTCCCAACTTTGCTTGATTTCAGCCGTCACCGTACGTTACTTGACCAAGAGGTATATTGGAGAATACAGTTCAGGAAAAGGTGAGAACATTCATTTTGCTCAATGTGTCCTTAATGTATTATATTTAAATTTGTTGATAGTGGCTAATTTAATGATAAGTCAAATCCGGCCATTGTTTGATTATTGCCCATTTTTGTGAACTGTGGAGTCAAAAATCATTCCCTTTCAGTATCAAAAAATTCAGGCATCTTCCTCTCGCCAAAAGTTTTTCTTTGCATTAATTCATGCAGTTTGTGCAATTTTGGACAAAAACGAACATACCAATTTATACCAGTATATATTTTTTACATATTAAATTGTGACCATTATTATTTTATTTTTGACACCAAAATTATCCTGTTTTTTTTCTGATAGAGAATTAAAAAATTAAATAATTACATTAATCAAGGTTTCTTGTCGATTTTAATTCAATAAGCAAAGGTATTTGTATTTTCAAGGCTTTTTTAAGTTTGATTTTGCATTCATTCATTCTGATTCATTCAAATTACGAAAGAGCGTGTGACCTGCGTGAATGAGAAACAAAGTTTTACGTTTCTGCTTGCTCCTCTTTATTCAGAAGACGCATGCAAGTGGCGCAGGATCGTTTTTAGCCAAGTCCGCCTTCTGTGAATTAAAAATAAAACACCCGCCAACATTACGACCGGATCGGGTTAAGGTTTAAATGGAATTACGGTGGCGACACAGGATGGGGAAGGCACTCTCATTGTCAGACAAACGGAAATCGTGTGACAAAATCTACTTTTTTCAAAATGATAAATCAAACGGTAATTGAGCACGAAACGTGAAATTTATCCCGGCTTGATTTATAGTCCGAAGCGTTGACGGCTCGCGGTATTAAAGAGAGGAATTATTGTTTCTCATGCATGCACGGGGAGATAAATTTAATTTGCGTCTCTGATTTATAAACCACTCCACTTGGAGGAAAGTGGATAATTATTTTTGTCCTTTTTGTATTATTTATGTTAATGTGCTAAGAAAATGTAAAGGAATAAAAATCGTATAAATTTATATCTTTGTAAATTTCATAAATCTACCAGCACTTTTAAAAAATATAAACCATCCAAATTCTGAAATACGACCGGTTTCAAATGGTTTCAAAGGTTTATAATCTAAAGTGATCGTAAAAATCAGGTTTTGACGTGTGACAAAATCTGATCGCTCTTTGGCAATAAGTAGCGGAGAGAGCAAATTTCGGTCGGGTTTTGCGTTTTGTTTTGTGTTGCGGCCGCAGATTAAATAACATAAAACTGCGAGAGATGCAGTCCGGGCAGCTTTTTTAATCCACGTTGGATTTTCCTCCGCACCGACCACAGCACTGACTTGAATTTCCTTAACTGGAGCAAATACACTTGACAAAAGCAGGCGCGAGAGAGAGGCCTGCTTTTCGCATCTGACCAGAAAGGACGGCAGGCAACCTGATACTGGCCTGGCAGATGATCAGAAGTCAAATCAGCCCAGCGTGCTAAAATTGAGCTGACAACTTTATATTAATTTCCTGCCAAGCGCCAAGATGATTTGGACACGAATTATTTTAAAATTGACTTGCGATTTCGTTACGCAATTGATTTTTCAATGACAAAAGAATAAAATAAAAATTGTCTCCAACACGGATAGAAATAATTTAACAGTTTTTGGATTAAAAAGTTTGCAATTGGGATGTGAATATCTGAAATCTGAAAGTTTGTAAAAAACCAAGACATACAATAAATAAATATTTTTTATAACAATTCAAATTTTCTTTAATTATTAATAATCGACAAATTTAAAAATATTTGCAATGAGTTTCAAATCGAAAAAATACTTGTAATTTGTAATAATTTTTCCAACTCACCTTAAAATGATATAATAATTGCTTGAACCTGAAAAGTGTTCTTGTTTTTATTGCGGCTATGATATTTTATTGGCCGATGGCTTCCAGGCGTGTGGCGGAATTTTCGGCTTTTTCAGTTCGGCTTTTCTCACGTGAGAATTATATCGAGAGTAGAGTTGCACAATAGCAAATTGGCTGGCGATTATCGGAGGCGTCCCACTTCAAGATGATAATGATATCCTCCTCAAAAGCAAAAGATCCGACTTGGATTTTATGGCGCCCAATTAGCCGCGAAGAAGCGGCTGTCAATAAATTAGAGGCCATATAAAGCAGATTTTGATCGCGGCTCGCAAATAACGCGAAGAACAAGCGAGAAAGAGACTTCTGCACTCTCGATTTATTGGTCGCTGCCAACTAACTAACATGTACACACTAAATGTATAAACAAGCTTCTGCAAAAAATCGGGAGATGGTCTAATTGGTGCCGTTAGCTTTTGCTTGTCCTTTAAGATAACCTTACTTTGGCGCCACATAAGAATGAGCAATTAGGATTATTGATTATATTTATAGCTCAAAAAAGTAAAATCTCAAATAAATGCAACAATAAAATATCTCTCCATTAAATTAAATTTTTCAATAACTATTTTAAATAGAAATAATGTTGTTTTAAAATAAGATATAATTTTTTATTAAATTGAATTAAATTTCTTAATCTATTTTGATCTCCACGTTTCCTGTCCGGCGTTTTGCTGCTTCCACCTGCTGAATCACGATTTTCTGATTTTCTCTCCTACTTCAAATGCAAACACAATATATTTTTATTTTGCTCCTTTTGAACAGCATTATTTTCTCCAGTAATTTGAAAACAATGGCACCGGATAACTGTAAAGCCGCAGTAAAGCTCTTGGGCACACATGTGCATGAGTAAATATTTGACCTTTGGTCACTCACGTGGGTCGCGCAAAGGGGCAAATTTTGGCACGATCTCCGGCGTTTTGCTGTTCGCATGAAGCCTCGCCGCTGGCAACACGAGTGGAGATTTGCATCTCCCGTATCGTCGCTTACTTTGAACTCTTTTCAAATAAAATTAAAAATTTCTCGTTTCTGAAATTTTTTCTTCATTCTCATACAAAATTGAATTCCTTGATACTTGCTAGTTTGCGGTTAAATAAAAAATAATGAATTCATGATTTTCACCAAGAATCCAACTCTTAATATTGACTAATTTGCCTGATATATTTTAAAAATTAATAAGCTTACAAGTTAATTTTAGGAAATATAGAAGCAAAATCTCTACGCATTCATTGCTTTTCATGCATATAGGCAACTTACATTATAATCTGGATTTGCATCCTTGAATCTTTGTGATAGAAAATTCTTCAAGAATCTTTAAAAATTATTCAACGACCAAATCAGACCAAATGTTTCTTTCTACAAATTTCAATTATAATTCCAGAATTATCAATTTTTTTTTTTTTGCTTTATTTTTGTTGTTTAGTTTCAAAATAAGCACACCTGTGGTTTACATTAAAAACAACAATTCATTAACTAAATTTTTTTGTCGTTTTGTTCCAGACATGACGTACCAGCACCAAGTGACCTTTGACAGTGTGGTCACAGAAATCGAAATCCTCGACACGTCCATGTGCTCGGTAAGTCTGGCAGCACAAGTGGCACAACCTGATTTTCGCAGTGCAGGTGCTCATTGCATGAATAATATCGGAGAATTAGAGTTAATAAAATTTATATATTAAGCCGAGTCGATCGTCGTGTGTGGCGAAAAGTTGATCATTAAGCACAATTTTACAACTTTGGAAAGAAAGCGCGCAGAGAGTCAATTTTGACCAATAAAATAAAGAAAGTGGAATGGATCGAACAAAGGAGCATGCACTGCACAATGAGGAATGCCAAGCGTGCATGTGTAGTTGGTACGAAGTCGTGCTGAAAAAGAAGGTCCAGTTGGTTGCTCTCGGCCGGCCGGACAATAATAAACATCGTAATCAAATCACGCGAGATATTTATACTCTATTTGAGCGTATGTGTTAGTGTATGTAAAACGAGTCGTCGGAGAGCAGAGAGAAAAGAGGAAAATACACACACACACAGCAGAGAGAGTGCTATTGCAATAAAACACACACTATAACTCTTTAGGGGAAATATAACGGCACTCAAATTTACAATGCGCCAGCTGGGGCTATCACTGCAAAAGACAATCAAGCCTTGAGTGTGAGGAAATTTCTTGTTGGATTAAACCGAGAATTTTTACTTCCTACAAAGCGTAATCAATTATTGCATAAGGCGAATTCCTTCAAGGATATATATAAGGTTTAGTTTTGATTGTATTGCAAGCAAAATTAAACAGTAGAAAATGACAAATTTAATTTTATAAAATCATATAAAAAAACATTATAATATGATTATTTTATTTAGAATTATTTACATAAAACTTTTATTAGACCCCGCTTTAATCTATTATCTATTTCCATTTCTCTTTTGAGCGATGCAGCCTAAAAATGAAACTGTGTGTCAAACTGCGTAAAAAAATAATAAGTCCGTTGCAATTTTTCCAACCTGCCAGCCGGATGTTGCCTTATTTCTTCACCTTAAGTAAAGTAATTATCAGCAATTACTTGACACTCAAAATAATGGGAAAATGACCAGATGAACAGTAAAAATTGCATTAGACGTTGATTGCTTAAAGTTTTTAAACGCCTTTTAAAGTAAAAATTCACACGGAAATTGATCCTCCCAAAGATTTTTTATTCCTCATTTCTTACTAAAAATATTATTCTGTAGCTACATTCTTAAGGGAACCAGTAAATTATAATTCATTTTCCTGTCTCATCACTCTAAAAAAAGAGAGCAGTTATTTGGAACACCATAAAAATCTGAAGCGGTTGGCGCATCCCAGTATTGATTTCTTTGAAAGTCTTCAATTATTAATTTTACATTTTCTTAAATAAAAAAGTATTATTATGAGGCCGATATTTTTTATATTTTAAAATTTAAAAAAAATTTATTTTATTTTCATAATTTTCATGCTCATTTATGAAAATTTTTAAAGTATACTTTCTGCGTGAGAACAATAGGGATTTTTAGTGTTTGTACAAGTTGCAGAGCTTACATTATATTGTTTTACGTAATATTATTCATTTCAGGTATAATCTCAGCTATAATTAGGATATATTATTTCCAAAATTAACAGTTTGTAGGAATTTTTAGATCAGTAAGTCATGGGGAATCTATAATTAGCAAAAATATGATCTGTAATTTTGAAATAATCAGTTTAGAGAAGAATTTCTATTGCCCCTTCATAAAACACGTTTTGCTATAAAAATCTATACATCTCTTGTTTACTTTGCTTCAAGATGCTAAGAGAAGACCTCAATTCATACAATCGAAAAGCGAAAATAGAAATCAACATATTTATGAGCTGGCGCCACACGCGAATATTAGACTCCACACGAGAGTTGATTTTTTTTCTCTGCGTGAAATTCGATCGCGAATTTTTCTCCGTAAAAAACAATTTTAATAAAATTAAAAACTGAAGCAAAAAAATTTCTGTGGTTCACTTTTTCTCTTGAACCTGCAACGGAGCCTTTTATAAAAGCGCGCGGCTCTTGTGTCAGGGAAGTCAGAGCAGCTTTTGAAATGATATATAAATAGCTCAATTCCTTATACACAATTATTTTCTTCTGAATTGGTGAATTAAATCCAGACAAAACCAAAGCTCAGTCGCCGGAAAGGAAATTCACTGCGTACACGAAACGAGTTTTTATTTTAAAAAGTGCTGGTCAGCGGGCATGAATGGCAAACTTTGTTTCTCATTCTTTAATCTCGCCGCCGCGGCCACGCACGATTTTCATTTCAACAAAAGACGCACACACAACATCTGTTAAACTTGAATGATGATCGCTACATTAGTAACCATATATAACAACTTACTTTTATATGGTTAAAAAATGTATTTAGAGTAATGAATTTTCTTTTCTCATTTTCTAGAGTTGCGTTGCTGAGCACCTGAAATGGGGGGATGCTTTCGTCGTGGTTTACAGCGTAGAGGACAAGACGAGCTTTCAGGGCGCGAGAAAAACTCTTCAAAGTTTGTCGCAAGCCAAGGAATGCTCTTTCTTTAGTCTCCTGCTGCTTGGAAACAAACGAGACCTTGATTACATGCGGTAAATAAAAATATTATATAATTAATCTAGATCTACATTTAAATACCAAAATGTTACTTATTTTTCACAAAAATTATTCATTAAATTTTTTTTCATTTAATATTATTTGCTTCCCCTGATTTTTACTTCTACTTTTTTAGGCAAGTTGGAGTTGATGATGGCCAGGAACTTTCCCTTAAGTTTGGCTGTCAATTTTATGAGGTGAGCGCTGCAGAGAACAGTGCAGGTGTGACACTAGCGTTCATGTCACTGCTGAGGGAGGCCAGGTCAGCACAATTGTTGAGAAATTTACCCATCAGGCGGAAGCTCGGCGTCAACAGCGTCTCTAAAGTAAGCTCTTAGGTCAATTATTTTGTGTTTGTAATATTTGATTATTTTTTGTAGGTACTTGGCACGATCTTTGGCAAGAACAGCAGTCAGAGCAACAATTCCAGCAGCCAAAGCAAAAAGGACCGCAAGAAGAAGAGGCCGTCGTTGAGCATATGACTGTTGCACTGTCTTAGCTTTTTCGCGCCAAAGCCTCGTCTGATATGTGGCGGTTCCTCAAAATTTTGATCTCAAAAGCGGTGCTGACTCAGAATTAATAAGTGACTCGTTTTTTCCCCACGCCTTTGCAATTTTTGTGTTCACTGCAGCATACAACGCCAAGTGCCAAAAACAAAATATTATACGACTTTTGTTTAAAATAGTAAATTATGAAATAATACCACCTGCAGCGTGTCTATTTTTAGATTAGTTAAGCTTTGATTTATTTTTAGATTGTTTGTTGAGATTTTAGAATTAAAAAATAGTTCTCGGTGCAGGAATTAGAGGCAGTTTCCTTTTTTTATTAAGTTTGGATCTTTTGGAATTTGTAAAGAACTGATGGACATTAAAAGTTATTCCTAGTTTTTAGTGTTTAATTAAAAAAAACAAATGTTAAAATTTTCTATATAATAATAAAAGTTTTTGAAATAAAATGTAAATTTTGCACTTTTGAAAATTAATTTAAAAAAGGGCAGTTTTATTTTAATCATCAAACTTCCTCATGTTAACACTTGCAAAACTAACAGCCTGAAGGCCTTCGGATGCAGTTTCAAGCCTCATCTTTTTTGCTGCTTTTTTGGCAGCACTCTCCTGATTCTTGGCTCGCTTTTTTGCTTGTTTCTTTTCTTTCTTCTTCTTCTTCTTGTCCTTCTTTCCTGGTGGATTTGCACTGAAAACCTTTGACTTGCCATTCTCAGCAGTTCCATTTTCAAAAATGTTTGAGGTGACAACTTGGTTCAATTGTTCATCAACAGACACCTAAAAAAAATTATAAATGTATTTAATTTAATTCTTTTCAATGGATTTAACAATCGAGTATTACCTTAAGCGCCCGAGCAGCTAATCTGAATATTTTTTTCGTCTCCTTCCCAGAGTTAACTATTTGCGGAATGTGGTCCTCAATAGCTTTAGCAAGAGGTTTTTTCAGCTTTTCATCTAACTTTGGCGACAGTTTTTGAATCATTGTCAATAGCTGGCGCTCAAACCTCTGTTTGCAACCTGCGGACAGCAAGGCAGATGCAGCCCTTTCTGCCAAAGACCCAAGCAAGATTTGCACCTCTTTAGGATGCGAGACAAGCAACTGCTGATTTGTGATCAATTCGCTCAAGAAAGACACAGCTTGCGGTCGTCTAAAGAACTTTGCCTAATGTTAATCAAAAAATTAATTATAAATATGATGCCTGGATTTTTCAAACTCACTTCTTCCTTGGTATTAAAGGCAGCTTCTGTCAGCAGTGAGAAAAACTTCAAATTCCCATTCCATGACGTTTTCAACAGCGGCTCGAAAAAGGTGGCAGGCAGGGCACAATCTCTTTTGCAGAAAAACTCTGTCATGGCTTTCTCGAAGGCTTCGGTCAAGACGCCGCTTCCTTCCGTCGACTGGGCAGCTCGGGCTAGAAATGCAGCCACTGCGGCTGCTTCGGACGCCACAACCAGAAAAGAGGCTTGGGAGGTTTGGCCTCGTTCAAGAAGCGCTGATAGACATGCAGCAAGATCCTCTTCGGTGACGCCTTCTGTTTCTGCAAATTTCCGTAACTGCCCAAACGAGGTGAGTAGGTTTCGAAGTCGTCCTTCCAAAGGCCTCATCAAAGGGTCTCGGAGGCAGCGGACCAGAAGGTCTAAGAGGGGATTGACAAGGCCTAGGGTGAAGCGGAGAGAGTGTTCAGCGGAAATGTAGGTCTCAAGGAGGTCAAGGACTCGAAGACGGAAGTGCAAGACCTGTTCCTGCACCTTGGATTCTTTTTTAGTGCGGCCTTTTCGAACAGCTGGAAAATTTGAATGAGTTTAAGCAAAAATAAAATATAAAAATTTTATTTGCGCAATCCAGGTGCAATCATGTATTTAAAAGATAAAGAAATAAAACAATACCTGCAAAAGCTTGACTGAGGGCTTCATCTAGTCTCTTTCCTTCTTCCTCAGAAATATCATCAACATCAATTGATTCCGTGTCAGACACTTCACCAGTCATTCCCAGTGCAGATCTGACAGCCGCCCTCACTCGGTCCGCTGCAGAATCCTCAACGTCGTCAGGATCATCCTCCAAATCCTCATCTTCTTCGTCTTCCTCTCCTTGGCTTTCTTCGTTTTCTTCCTCTTCTTCAGAATCCTCCTCATCCTCTTCTTCTTCGACCTCACTTCCCTCTGCCTCCATTTGTTCCACTTCGTCCCTGCAAGATACAACATCGTTATTAATTAACAAATTTCTGAGTCAAAATTCAACTTACTTTGAAACCAGAGGGTTGTCCTGGGCACTGCACGCTTCGATGAGACTGTCAAGCGCCTCCTGGGTCATCAATGGGCACAGGGCGGAAAAAACCTTCCTAACCGTTGCTCTCAAGGCTGCCGACGGGTGGGCAAGGAGGGACAGAAGAAGTTCCACCACCACTTCCACCCAATGCCTGTCCTGCTTTCCTCCCAGCACTCTTTTGCAGCATTCATGGAGTTCCTGAAATAAAATAACAGATTGAAAATATTAAACATATGAAATAAAAGTTTTTCAAAATGTTACCTCTAGTGCTTCCAGCGCCTGCTCAGGTTCGGTGAGCAGCTGAAGACCCACATGCACCATGAGCTGGGCCAAAACACCTTCGACTTTTCCTCCCGCCGCACTAAGCTCTGCAACTTGCTGTGCCATTTTTTTCCAAGCCGCACTTGCAGCGCTGGTCATCTTCAGCGGCTGCTTCTTTTTCTTCAACTGCCCATCAACATAGGCCACTGCAGCTCTCAGGACGCCTTCTGGTGCTCCTTTCTGGCAGCGGTTGAAGTTCTGTTTGGCCGCCTGGCTCAGAATGCTTGTCGGTGAGCTCGAGAAAAACGCCTGCTCCAGGAGGAAAATAGTTGCGTCCTGTCGAGTTTCTACAGGAACGCTAGTGCTCAGGGCCAAGGTTGCAATCATCTGTAGAGCCCCTGACTTGTCACGATTTTTCTTGTGGTCATCCATAACAACCTGAAAGTTTTTGGAATTCTTTTAAATCTGTGTAATTTCAAAAGTTAAATTACCTTTTTGCACATTTCAATGGCCATTCCGAATCCTTCGTCCTTCATGGTTCCGGCGACTGCCCTAACAAGCCCGCACTTAGTGGTTTGGTCAAAGGAAAAGTCTTCGGCCGTCAACATCTCGAGGACTTTTGCCCTGACAGAGTCGGGTGATGCCTTCACCCTTGTCAGCAAGACCTCCATCACTTCTGCAGCCACAGGTCGCAGTTCACTGTCCAGAAGACCTTTCTTCAGCAGGGCCACGCCTGAAGTTCCGAGCAATTTGACAAAATTTGTGTCGTCAGATGTTTTTAAAAGGGCGCCTAACAGCTCAAGGGCAGTTGCTTGCCGAGAGCGTGAGGCTTTGGCCATCACCTCTAGGACAGGTTCGTTCCAGAATTCGGCACATTCGTCTGGTGGTAAATGCTGGGCCACAAGGCTACCGACGGGGTGTTGGCCCTCCAGAACAATTTGGGCAACTCGAGGCCAGTTGGACTTGGCCAAGAGCTGAGTGCCTAGGAGGTTCTTCAACTCAGTTTTCTTGATCTTGAACCTGGACGAAATTTAAATTAAATTTTATTTAGTTAATATAATTACTCAAATAACCTCTTGTAAACATGAAGCAGAAGAAATAGGGATGTCTGGGTTTGTTGGCTCCAATCTTTGGCCAGCGATGGCTGCAACGCTGGCCATAAAAGAGTCATAAACTGCTCATTGGAAGACCCATCCATCAATTGAACCAAGAAGGGAGCTACCACGGAAGGCAGGTAACTTCTCTTTGTTGAAGCGTCCACCAAACCATGGACAACCTCACTCTTCTCCTCCTGGGACAGATTTTGGTAGAGGCCAGAGCGAATCAGTGCTCCGTGGAAGAGAACTCTTCCCATCCAAAGGTCGCCCTCTTCTCCCTTGGTGTTGGCTGAAGACACTTTCAGCTCTTTTTCGGCCAGGGATGTCACGGTTGAATAGGGCAAGTTTGGAAGCACCTTTGAAGATGATTAATTTAGTTAGAATTATATGGACTTCTTGATTAAATTTTGTGTATTATATACTTTCAGGAATCCAGTAAAGGTGAGGTAGTAGCCCCTCCTGGCTGAATCTTTGTTGCAGGCCAAGCCTCGGATGATTCTCTGGCCAATTTTGGTGACTTCTTCCTCATTCTCAGATTGTCTCAAGCGCCAGAAGTACTGAAGCAAAGTTTGTGCTGCTGCCAAGCGCACTTTTGAGTTGGAATTTGAAAGACGCGAAAATGCGTCTAATGCCGGGTCTCGAGTCATCTGCAAAAAATCCGGACGAATTTTAGTTACAGAATTTTAATAATGCAAAAAAAATTGGATAAAATCAAAAGGCATGCATCAGATTTTCAATTTTCAACGGAATTAAAAATTATTACAAAATTGCTGATATTTACCTCAAACCTCGATAATTATTGGCGTGGCTCTTATAGCTGGTTTAAATTTTAAATATGTATTAAAATCAAATTCGGCACGCAGTGATAAGGCTGCATGTGAGTCCACAGTGTCCACACGTGTTTTTATTTTGGTTCAAAAAATGATGTTGCAAAGCAAGAAGTCTTGTGATGATGATTGATGATTATAGAAAATGATCGATGATAAAAACCGGTTTAATTATCACAAAAAAAAAAACAGTTTAAAAGTAAATTGTTGAATTTAAATAAATTTATGCCATTTTTAATCAAATGTAACTAAATCTAAATTAATAAATTGCTTTTATTTCTTTTTGTTGGCAAAATATTCCAAAAACAGAAGCAAAATCATTTTACATAAACCGGTATTTTTAAATTAACCGGTAAATGTCACAAAATAACTGAACCCAAAAATCGAAACAATAACAACACAACATAAATTATTTTAATTGTTGATCAAATTTCTGGACCCGGCTTTAACTCGGATCTCAGACTTAAACTCAGTTTTGTAACATCTTTGAGTAGAGAAATATTTCGTCCAATTTTTGCACTAATTTTTATAAAATATTTTATTTTGATATCTCATTAAAAAAATGGAGCAAAAATTGGAGGACGAAAATTTGTCAGAGCCTATGTCCTCGTCTTATGCTGACGGACTGTCACCTTATGACAACAAAGGGAAACTTGGTTTGAAAGAGGTTGTTATACTTATGTCAAAACATTTTTTATTTTTTTTTTAACTGATTTTAAAATTTAAAATGCATTATATAAATCAGTAACTCATTTATATATGTATGTACATATTGATTGATGCATGATAATTTTTGGTGCATGGTGCACCTATTTTTTTATTTGATGTGTACATAATATTAATGTTTTGAATGTTTTAACTTTTTTAGATTTTTGATTCTGACGAAGAAGTTGAGCGAAAACTGAACGTACTTGTTGAGTGGGTCAAAGAAGCAAAACACGTTGTCTTCCACACTGGTGCTGGAATCAGCACATCAGCTGGCATTCCAGATTTTCGGTATAATTAATTAAATTAAAAAAAAAAGCCTAAAATATTTTTTTACTTCTTTATTTAATATTTCAGAGGCCCACAAGGAGTTTGGACATTAGAGGCCAAAGGTGAAAAGCCAAAATTCAATAAATCGTTCAACGAAGTCACTCCTACAAAGACTCATCTTGCTATCAAGCATTTGATTGACCATGGTAGTTAGAATAATTTTAATCGTTTTTAATTAGACATCCATTTACACATATTTAATTTGTCAGAAGAAATTGGGTTATAAGTTTCAATGTTTGGTTTCTTTTTTCAGGTTTTGCAAAATTCGTGATTAGCCAAAACATAGACGGACTCCATCTTCGCTCAGGTTTGAGCAGGCACCAATTTGCAGAGCTGCACGGAAACATGTTCACTGAGCAGTGTGACAAATGCAGCGGATTGTACGTTCGAGGAAGTGCAACTACGTCGGTTGGTTGCAAATACTTGGGAAAAAGTTGTCCCGGCAAAAAAGGGCGAATGTGCAGAGGCAAAATCAAAGACACCATTCTCGACTGGGAGCACAACCTGCCGGAGGATGAGATCTGCATGGCTGAGTGGCATTCGAAGTAATTTTCTTTATTTTTTTGTATAATTTAATGTCTATTTGTAAACAATTCCAGTCTGGCCGATTTGAGTATAACCTTGGGTACAACAATGCAAATTGTTCCCAGTGGAAATTTACCCCTGTTGGCTAAAAAGAGGGGCGGTCGTCTGGTGGTTTGCAATTTGCAACCAACTAAACAGGTATAAAAAAATGTTTACTAAAAATTAATACAGAACGAAAAAAATGGTAACAAGGATGTTATTTTTAATTCATTGAACCAAATTAAATATTTCGTACATACAATTTTCCCCGATGTATAAAATTGAAATTTTGGTTTTGATTTTTGTAGGACAAAAAAGCTGATCTCATCATCAACACTTATGTAGACAACATTATGGAAGGTCTCATGCGGTTGCTGGACTTGGAATTTCAGCCTTTTGATCCGTCCGCAGACCCGACAAAGAAAGCTGCCTCTGAAATTGTGCCGTGGGACTTTCCAAGACCAATTTTCAATAGCACAAAAAGACTGTACATGGATAAATGCACCAAAGTTGGTAAAAGAAGCAGTAGTACTAATGATAATGGAGTTGGGAAGAGAAAGAAGAAAATCAAAGAAGAAGACGCTGGAAAGGATAATGTCGAAGAGAAGGCTAATTTTGTGAAAGAAGAATGTGCTGTGGCGATTGAAAATGGAAATGTGAGTGAAAAAACTACAAACAATATTGTTTGCACAGAAATAAAAGAAGAAATCATTCCTTTCTAATCAAATATCTGGTTTTAAAGTATATAATATAGATGATACAAAATTTCTAGCAAAATTTAAAGATATTTCAGACATTTTAGAAAGAATAATTCTTGTTTGCACTAATATGAAAAGTTTGAAAAAAAAATGATGAACTATAACATAATATTTTATTTAATACCTTCAATGCAATCAAACTATTTTAATTTCATAACTAGAAATTATTTGGAATATTTGAACTATATTCTGCCTGGCTTCTAATTTAATCATTTTTAAATTTCGCGCCACTGATACAAGTGAGCATCTTCAATTGCTCAGCCAATGGGAGGCTGCGAGTCGTGTTGTGTTCCCCCAGCCATATTGGAACATTGGAAGTTTCCGTGATATCCTGGGGATCGAGTTAGCGGCTTAATTATCGCCGTGAAAAGGGACAGGCGATGGTAAACAAGTCGCCGGCTATGTGTTGGATAACGCCGAGTTAACGATCGTCGATTAGGTAAGGACGAGGAGCCGTCGGAAGGTTATCTACACCCTCCTTTCCGAGGCCGCAAAGTTGAAGCGGACAAATTTTGGGCCACTTGTTGCCAGCCGCTTAGGCACATTTTGCATCCCTTTTCTCTCGAAATACTCGCCCAAATGAAAAATTTCCCGTCTCAACTTGTCAATTTTGAAGTCTCAAAGATTTTCCACGTCGTCTGACGTATCGATCTCTGAAGGCGGACGCAAGGTTTGGCCAATAACAACAGCCTCCTCAACCCAATTGCTTTGAAATGTACCAACCTAAATCTTTTTATCAGTTAGCAATACACATCTATGTACTAATCAAAGACTTTTTGCTCATAGGTCTTGACTCTGCTGATAAGAAAATCAAATAAGACTTGCACCAGGTACGTCAGCTGGAAGGCAAAAATCGACTGAAACTATGGCAGCTCCATTTGACCCCAATGACCGCAGCAGGTATACTTTGAGGGAAATCCAAAAGAAATAATTCCATTAAAAACTATAATTTCTTCTAGCTGGTACTTTGGCCAAATGTCCCGGCAAGAGGCGACCGATCTACTCATGGGAGAGAAAGAGGGGGGTGTTTTTTTGGTCAGGGACAGCACAACCATCCACGGAGATTATGTCCTCTGTGTTAGGTAAAGAAATACAATTTGTGTGAAACGTGGTTAAATTTATTTTAATTGAAGGGAGGACTGCAAAGTTTCTCATTACATCATAAACAAAGTGCAGCAAGGCGAGCAGCACCGTTATCGCATTGGTGACCAGACGTTTCCCGACTTGCCAAACCTGCTGGCCTTTTACAAACTGCACTACCTGGACACAACCCCTCTAATCAGGCCAGCCGTTCGGCGGATAGAGAGGGTCATTGCAAAGTACGACTTCGAAGGAAGTGTAAGATTGAGCTTTTTTATTTCAGAATAAAAAATGAAATTGACGAAATTAATTAGGATCCGGACGATCTGCCATTCAAACGGGGCGATGTATTGACTGTGATGGTGAAGGACGAGGACCAGTGGTGGACAGCTAAGAACAGTGTGGGACAAGTGGGATCTATTCCTGTGCCATACGTCCAGAAAGTAAGAATTTTTCTTGTCATTTATATTTATAAATTTAATTAAAAATGTTATCAGTATGAAGAAGGACAACAGAATGAAAATTTGAGAGCGTCTACTAATAGTAGTGGGGGAACCATAGGACCAGCGCCTGAGACTGGAAGTCGCCGTACTAATGCTCAAGTGAGTATTTGTCATATGACTAAAGTAGCCTCTACATGCCTGTATTTTGATTAAGGACTTCATCGTTTTTGCAGAAAATGACATAAATTATTGTTCACAATATCAAACCATATTTTAAGTCTTATTTGATTCTAAATTATTCAAGATTTTATTATTTATGTTTTGTCAAAGAACATTAGTTAGTTTCCTTATTATTTTGATTAAATTTAGAAATTTTGATTTGCGCTCTTAATACTCATATTTTTTTTATTTTCAGAGAAAACTACCTGCATTTGCGAGAGTAAAACAAACAAGAGTGCCAAACGCATACGACAAGACGGCGCTGCGGCTGGAGATAGGGGACGTCATCAAAGTGACCAAAATGAACATAAACGGACAGTGGGAAGGTGAGCTGAGCGGCCGCATAGGCCACTTTCCGTTCACGCATGTTGAGTTCATCGAGTCCGAGTGCAATGAAGGCACAAACGACGAATGCTAAAATACTAAATGGCTTCAAGTGGCTGCTTCAGAATCGAAATAAGCCTAATTTTTGTCTTTAAAACGCAAGAGAAGCATCAACTAAGTGCATTGGGCTAGTTATTTTGCCCCCAAATTATTAATCAATTGATTAAGTTTTAACTGTTTACTCATTTTTTTATATAATTTAACCGGAAAGTCTCTTGACCAAAATAATACTTTAATATTAAGCTCTGAAGTGCTAAATTTCTTAGAGCTCTCTTTAATGTACCTTTTTTACAAATAATTTTTACGTCAAGTGTGAGACCAACCCTTCTAGGCAAGCAAACAAATGAAAATGGGACAGTTCATGCTTCTCTTGATCGATCAGCTCTCAATATTGCTAAAATAAATCCAGTGTACAGTCTGTAGATGTGTGCGTCATGGGTAGAAAATTTTCGAGTGAGAGCTCTCCAGGTTGAGATGGTCTAACAAAAAAGCGTACAAGTTTGCAAAGGCGCAACTAAACAGTGGCTTCTGAAAAAAAAAAAATGTAAATAACCATACCCCGAGTAAAAGTGTCGCGATTAAGTAATAATTCTAAGTCATTTATTTATTTAAACTTCTGTGTATGTGTTGTTTCCTGTGCTCAATTCTGACTTTGTAACAAGCATCCAAGTAAAAAAAAACGCACAGTGAAGAACGCAGTGCCAGATGGATATTGATGCATTTTGTTATCTTTTACGAACTCTTTTGTTGATAATTTTTATTGCAATATTCCAGAAAATTTGAGTATTTAACTTCTATATATTATTGTCTCGTTAATTTACTGTCTCCTTCGAAATGACAAACTAAGTAAGCTTTTGACGTAGCTTTCTCGCAGAAATATTGTTCTGTTTGTACAGTGGATAACTAATGATTATATTTTCCAGTCAACAATGGCATTATAAATAAAAGGAGAATCATATCAGGCTTGAACTGAGTGTATTATTTCTATTTCCAAAATTACAAAAAAACCTTTATGCTTATTTTTATTGGAACGAAATGACACAAATCATGACTTTAATTGACACGTATTACCATTTTTATTAATCTTCATCTCTGAGCATTACACATTCAACACAATGAAATTAGATAAGTTTTGTGAAAAATTTTATGAGTGCGTGCTATTTGATATATTTTTTCAGTACAATCAAAATGGGTGAAATAAAGATTTGACAATATTTCTTGTATAATATAATTCCCAATAACTGGTATTGAAATCAGAACACAATACATCGAAAGGCGTTCAATATCGAACGAATTTACAACATTCAATAAGGCAGTACGAAGAGATGAAAATCATAACAATAACCCTGATCCAACTGAGTATACTGAATGAAACAATTAAAAAATGCGAATTTATACATACATATAGTTGAAACATATGTTGAGTTAAAAATGGGAAAATTTGGCACATTGACGACAACAATAAATGAGAGGCAATTTTTTGTGATGACATGATATTCCGCAGAAGGTTGAAAATCTTTGCCCTGGGCTAAATTTAATGTTTGTCATTTTTTTAGCTAAATAATACTCTGCTTTAATTTCCCTCTTAATACGTTGATTTTTGTGCTACAACATTTGTGCCATAACTATGTTTTATAGTTTCCTATCCAGGTTTGAGTAGAATTTCGCACTAGATATCAGATATTTAACAGATAATTAATTAATCATATACTCAATTAATGTATGTACTCTCATAGCGCACGACGCGAAAGCATTTTGATCAACGATTGACTAAGTACTTTTTTTCTGGAAACAAGTCTGCCGTCCGTTTAGGCCACTAGCACACAGCAGAAGTATAGAGGTTTAGATTATTTTTTTCTTTTTACTTTTTTCTACTACACTTGTATGCATTTTTTGGAACTTGCATGGAAATCGATTCAAAGTAAAAACATTAAAGTTTTTCGAGGAGAGGTTATTTTGCATGTATACAGAATTGCTTGAATGGACGTCACAGTGCTTTTTCGACCAGTCTAAAGTACAAATATATGATTAGAGATAAAAGTTCCTTTTATATACCACTTTAAAAGTTGATGCGCGCAATGCATTTAAGTACACAATAATCAACAATAAATATATAATCAAATGTACAACCATTCAAGGAAAAATTGATGATGATATTTTATATAGTCTATTTTTTTGCTTATGAAAATGAGATTTGCAACAGACAACATCGGCAAGGAAAAGGAATATACATGTATCAATTACGGACGAAGTTAGATCTTTTAAAAGCAATCATTTGAACACAATTTATATTTATGAAAAATGTTATACACCAAAAGACAAACTTCAAAATGTGGAGAAAATTTTAAATTTGAATTTATGCCAAAATTTAAATTTTAACACACAAAGATAAACATTATTTTCAACATCACTGTAGGCATAGAAAAACACGATTTTTCAACTTTAAGAATTTTCAACAGGGGCAAGTGAGCAAAATTTGAGGATTCTTTCGGAATGGTATTTTTTCTCTTTCAATAATATTTGTGAGAAACTTCTGAACTATTTATTACTTCACTGTTGAGTCCTAGAGTCCTATAATTTAATTTGGTTTCATTCCAATTAACACGACGATCTTGAATCTGAACACAATTAACAATAAAGAGGTGATAAAGAGACCGCTCAAATGCACGCCAGTCACAGAAGTTCACATTTAATTTCTTATGCGATTGTGTTTGTTGATTTTACTTCCACAATTTTTGAAGGAGCTCCAGAGCTTATTCACTTTGTTAGTCATGCACATAGAAATTTTTAATTACCTATCTTGATATGTTCTCATTTTTTTTCTTCAGAAACGACCATATTACATACTTTTTGAGTTTTTCTTTCCCAAGGTATGACATTTTCATAGGCACATAGTGAGAGACGAACCGATAGATTTAAATCAAGAATTGAGTTATATATTAGTTACACTATAGATAATACTCACTATTTCACAATATGCAATCACAGAGCACATAAAACTCAAAACGTTTTCCATTTGAATCTTAAATCAACGGGAGTCAATTGCGCCATCCACAGAAGAAAATTGCAAATAAATTAAACGTATGTCATTTTAAAATCACCCACACGCGCAAAGCAACTCTGCAAGACCCTCCTGTTTGAAATTATTAGCAAGTAATCAAGTTGAAAAGGAATACATTAATTTTTAAGTTGAACCTAAAATTTCAAATATTTTATATTAATTATTGGGAGTTATTTAAGAGGGTCTGACGGAATAAATTTTTTTACCGCAAACCGATTTCAGAACAGAAAAGATTGTAGAAAAGGCAATAGACAAATCAAAATCACTAGCAGGTACTTTGTAGTGCATACTGATAATCATAAGTTTACAGAGCTCTATTGTAGAGTCATAATATCAATATTTTTAAACAGCGCGTTTTCCTTTTTCACCTTCTTAAAGACGTATTAAAACACATACCCCGTCACTTAAAGATACACATTGTGTTATTGCATAATTTTCCATTTCCTTTTTTTTCCTCCGCACAGTCGTCCAGTGAGCTGTCATATTTTTCAGAAAAGTCCCCTCAACTGCTTTATATCTGTCTTTTGATATATCAACAGAAGTTCAAGTATTAAAGGGGACCCTGGCATAAAGTCTTGGGAAACCGCAAACCGTCTTGATATGTAGGAAAAGGGTACTTTCAAGCATTGTACAATGTAACGAGAAAAAACGCTGAAAGTAGATTGAGAATTTTCAAGGGGAGTTAAAAAGAATTAAAGATTTGCAAGCACTGAAATGACAATATCAGCGAACGAACACCTTATAGTGAAACACATTCAGAGGGTAAATACATATGCATGATCCAAATATATGCGTAATAAAAAATGCCACATCCATATGTATAAATATGAATAAACAATCTCGAGTCCTCTGCCTGAAACGAGCGACTTTATAATATATAAATTAAAAACACTTTTGTAAAAAAGTATATATCAACAACGATAATTAATTAACCTCGCTCTGTCATGATGGCAATATAGCATAAATTACTTATTGATTTTCAACAAAAAATATACATCTCAACAAAAAATAAAGGTGCAACGGAACCGGTGACGAACATACTTGTAATTGACCGCGCTCTAGAGGTCGTCTTCAAGTTTCGGGATGTCGAAGATCTCGGCAAACAGCGGAGGCAGATGGATTTTCATCCAGTGCTGCCGCAGCCAGCACAAGTGCTCTGTGTGCTTTACACCTAGGCTGTGGAGGTCATTGAGAAGCTCGACGAGCTGGTTCACTCGCTCTTGACCACCATTCTTCTGCATCACCTGCGAAATTATTTAAATTTGGTACATCAATTTAAAAAATAATTTTTTTTTAATTGATAACTTAAAATATCCATAATAGTTCTTCTTATTGTTTATTCCTCTTGAGAATGGCACCTTAATATGATTCTTAAACTGATTATTTGTAGGAAAATATTTTATCCTTTTCAGATTCACTAATATTATTTTATTAAATTTGTCTCAATACAATAATTTATATTCATGCTATTTATTTTAGTCTAAATTTTCATTTTACTGAATTATCTCTGTTTAAGTAATCAATGATTAAAGTAATCAATTTTTGTAGCTAACCTGATATTTGAGCGCCTCGGCCAGTTTGTCCCTAAGAGACTGCACCAAACACTTGTCCGTGATGCCGCACCTCGAAGGCGAAAGCAAAATCATCGAGAACAGGAGGGCCATTTCTGTGGCGCTCGGCGCCGCGTTATTAAACGTGTTGGAAAACAAGACTAATGAGTTGACGAATTCGACCTGAAAATACCACAAAATTTCATTTTTTAACAGCGATTTCATAACTTTTTTCCAGTTCTCACGTCGTAAATTATCTCCAGTTGCGATCTCGAAGCAAAGGATCCGTCCGAGAAGCACAGGGTCTGCTCACTTTGGGCCAGGTTGCTCGCGCAGTGTGCTAGCCACACTTCCAGAAAGCCCAGTTTGATGAGAATTAGTTGGTCGTCTTGGTTGAGCGAAGAAAAGCCTTAAAAATAAAAATAATGAGATGAATAACAGAAATTGTTAAAAAAGAATATAATGAAATTGAAAAGGTAGTATTTTTTAGATTTTTTTTAACTAAACTGCTGAAATTTAAAACAGAGAGAGAAAATAGGAATGAAAGATTTGGCTAAAAAGGCAAATTCAATGTTTTAGCCCCTCAATCGTTATTGAGATGCAACCTGCACGACACATCAGTGCATGAAGTTGCCTATCCGAACTGAAGCATCATAACCAGAATTTTGCAAGACAAAGTCAATTAAATCCAAGAAAACATCGGAGACGAAAATTTTTAATTTTTCTTTTCAGAATTTAACAAAGAAATTAGAATAAAAAATGACTTTATTAATTATATGTAAATTATGCATTAGGGGTTCAAGGGGAAATGTGCTCACCTGGTATTCGTTTGGCAAATTCGACCACCTTCTGCACGCTCGGGGTGATGATGTCGGCCAGCTGCTGCCAGAGCGCCGCCCTTACGGTCACTTCACTGCACGTTGACGTTGGACTTGACGGATTGCCTTCGGCGTCACCACTCTCCATGCTTTCCACGATGAGAAGCGGCTTCAGAGGTTGGTTTGCGTTGCTTTCGTCGGTCCAGTGCAAGTGATACGCCTGGAGATGGATATTACGTAAGACTTTTTGCAAGGAAAAACATCAAGATAGGTTAGTTAAAATGTTTAGATCTATGGCAAAGACCATACTAGAAAAATACCATTAATGAGCCAGCAAAAAAGTGTTCGGGAGTAATAAAAAATAGAGTGATAACAAAAATTAAAAAATAAAAACATCAAAAATAAAGTTTTTAATTTTAAGGTGACAAATAAATTTCATTCAATGTATTTCATAATCCCATTCAAATCAATAAAATTAATTTATCTGTAAAACAATGAATTGAAATTAATTTTTGAAAATTGTTGCAGAAAGATTGTTTAATTTTCCATTAGTTATAGCTATTTTTTTTTATTTCTTACCTGAGAGACGGAAAGGATGACTTCCGAGACGGAGTCTGTGAGGAGCAGGGGCGGCGGCGAAGAGGACGAGGCCGTGTCCGTTGAGTTGCTCCGGACGACCGGCGGACTGTTGCTGCCACTGCTGCTGCTTTCGGGGTCGGGCTTGACGATGGCCAACGGCTGCAGCGTCACTGGCGTCGTCGGTGTTGGCGGCGACAGAGAGGAAACCGCCGTCGACGAGTCGTCGCTGCCGCTGCGCTCGCGACTCCGCTTCGGCACCCGGCCGTAGCGCACGGCTGTGAAAACGCATTCGTTAATAAATATAAATGGAGTGAAATTTAAATTAGAGTAAAATAAATTAAAATTTTGAAAATTCTGCTTAAAAAAATAAACTGCATTAAACATAGATTTATAATAAAATTTATTTACAAATTAAAGAAAATTTTCTTAAAATTCAAATATTTTTAAAAAATTTTTAATCAAAAGAAGCTATTTGAATTTAAATTTTTTGCATCTCTTTGATGAAATAACAGATTGGAATTGATAGGAAAAAAAAGAGAAAACTGAAACTTTCATTCAATGCAAATTAACATTTATTAAATAATATTTTTTTCTGAATGTTAATCTTCTAATTTTTTGACAAACTTTGATTCTGAGTTTACTTACAGTCTCTGGACATTCCCACAGCAAGACATTTCCTGAATCTACAGTACTGGCAGCGATTCCTGTTTAGTCTTATCACCAGGCATTTGCCGTCGCGAAGACAGCGATACTCAATTTGTTTTTGGATGCTCCTCCTGAAGAACCCCTGCAAAAAATCACACACGTGTCCTCGGTCAGTGATCGCGTAAGAGAAATTGAAAATCGTGGCGGTTCAATTTGCCGGCACATTAGCGACAGAGCGTTCATTTATTGTCAGTGCAGCGTTGAATTAGTATTGTTGTGGATGTGCATTATTAGCTCTCGCGAATATTTTCCTTCACAAAGGGTTGAAATGGGCCGCAGATTTACATATATAATCACGAAAGCATCAAATAGGTGCGGCTGCATTATTCTATCCACTCGGCTAACCTCAGCTTGTGGCTGCACAATGTCCTCTCTCATTAAACTATACTGAATTAGCGCCAGTCGAGATGCACGCTCGGAGAAAAACGAGACTGGAAAAATTCTAACAACCGTATAATCTAACCATTATTATTCAGCTGCATTAAATTGAGCTCAAAGTTTTTCATTCAAAACTGCATTAAAGCGCAAAGTGAAATTACAATTACCTTAAACTGTTTGTAAAATTAGTCAACATGATTATTTAAATCACCAGAAATTCTTACACAATAAATTCACCGCGTAAAATTGGAATAATTAATTCTCGTTTTTATAAAGGTGTAATTAATTGAATATTGATAAACAAAAAAAGTAAAATCCGCCAAAGCATCTTCGTTCCAGAATTTCTACCGTGTTATTAATTTCATATAATTTTGCAAAAATAATATCACATTATTAGTTAGAAATCTTGTTTTATTGTGAATAAAATCAAGCTTAAGGAATGACAACATTTATGATAGAAAAATCCATATTATAAAAATTAAACAAATTGTAAATTTAAAAAAACCACAGAACTGATATATTATAAGAAACACAATGTATTAATTTTTTTTTTTAATTCAATCGTATGGAAACTTAATCAATTAAGAGTCAATAGAAAACTTAAGAATAATAAATAATCAAAACTTGTTCCACGGTTAAATTATTGAAAACTGGAGCAGACCTTAGACCTTATCAACGACTCCGTTTTGGCATAATTCAAATCAAGCCTTTGCAACATTGGTTGAAATTTCAAAATCTCTTTCAATAATGGCAAAAATTTGTTATGAATGTTGTAGCCACTTTAAACTTCAGTTAAAACTATTTCGGAGTCCTTAATAAGGATGGAATACATGAAATATGTTGGAAATTGACTGTTCGAAATTTTTTTATTTCATCAACAATTTGATAATAATTCCTATTGCTGTTAAAAAAAAACCAATTTTCTAATCTTAACTTTTTGATTTTTGATAAAATAGCTCGTGGTGAATCTGCAAAAAATTGACAGTAAGATAAAAAAAATATTTCATCTTATCAATCAATAGTTTTTAAACTGCAGCCTTTGAGTCACTTTAAGCTACATCTGAAATCTGAACTAATTTTTTAAAAATAATTTAAAAATTGAGGTTTGTATTGAATTTTGTATTTCGTTGCATGAATTTGCACCAAGGCACCAAGAATAATACAAATTTTTTTTAAATTCATATTTTTAAATTTGATACTATTTTCATGGTTGTACTCCACGCTTTGTTAGTTAAAGAAATTTTCCATTCTTAGTTTCAACTTTGAAGCTCAGCTTTTGCTGTTTAGTTTGGACGGTTAATTGACAAGTTGAAAAACTGCGAAAGCTAACAAACGGACGCGAAACAAAAGAGCTGTCACGAAACCATCAATTAACCGTAAGAGAGCTAACAGAATTTCGGCTCGGCTCGGCTCGCTCACCATCCCGCCGGACTGGATTTGTGCGGCGACACAACAAGCTAACATAACTGTCAATTCAATTCGCTTTTTTGCCCGCCTTTTTTCGCCGTTTATATTCATTTCGAGAATCAAGCAGCGCTTCCTTACCTTGCATCCTTCGCAAGATGTCACTCCGTAGTGGTAGCCCGATGCTTTATCGCCGCAAACTTTGCACGGCACGAACGATTTGGCCGGACTCGAGTCCGCAGCTGCTGATAACTGTTGTTCTGAAACACGCAGAATCACAAATGTTAGTTAGTTGATTGAATGCATTAGTAGTGTGTATAGCATCCCTGGCCATGATTGCTAAATAAGTGCAGTTAATTATACACGTGAGTGTCTCACTCGCTGGCCGGATAATTAGACTCGTCGGCCAACGCGTGTAATCAGCGAAATTGGACGTGGATGTAGAAAGAGAGGTACCGTTTGTTTTTTTGCTGTTAATTGCATTATCGATGGCTCCAATTGTAACAAATTCATTAGACACGGATTAGAGCTATTCAAATGTATACGAACAATAAATCTTTTTCTGCAATTAATATTTATACTTAATTCTTTAAAAACAAGCATAGCTAGTAATATAAATTTAAAATATTGTAATAAATTATGATATTCCAAAACACTGTATCAGATTTTGGTGAATTTTTCCATTTCAAAGGGATTTGTAGTGCAACAAAATTTTTTTAGTAAAATAAAGCACTGAATAATAAATTAAATTAATGTTTTTAATATAACAAAATTTTAGATTACTTAAAATAAGTTATATAATAAGAAAAAGGTTTTTGTATATCGGGACGGTCTAAACCAAACATCTTTTAGAATAGAATTGTTGCAAAAAGTCTAATATTTTATCTACAGCAAAAGCAATTGACTAACAAGACGAATAAATATGTAATAATTTGCAAGAATATTTGAAACAATTGATTTTATCAGATTTGATTTGAGGTGTTAAATGTAAGACATGTTTATCAGAACCAACTTATGGTAGCAAATTTTATTTAGTTCTTATATTATAACTAAATATGATCAATAAAATTATTTTAGTAACGTTTTCTCAAAAATATCAAAATAAGTAACAATTTAACATTCAGAAATTTAAACATCATTTTCATTTATTTATAATTTATAAGTTATTAATTTCTCATCCATTAGTATAAAATGTTGGCAAGATTTTAAAATATAAAAAAGCATATGCCCTGATTTTTCATATTTCTTTGTATGTAATTATTGTAAAATAGGAGAAAATATTGGAAAACGATTTGAATTGTAAGTCATTGTTGTAGAGACTTGATTTCACTATGTCAAGAATCAGAGAGAGCAAAGAAAATTCATAGATTGAAAAAACTTGCTGATAAAAAAATGCTACACTGTTAATATTGCAGAAGTGTTTTTCATTATCACGACTCATTATTATTATTTAGAAATTGTATAAATTAATAAAATATGTTTTCGTTTTTTTTTTGTCATAATTAGGGTAAAATCGAATTTATTCAGGATATTCAGGTGCAAATATTTAAAAATTTTCACTATTGCTTATTTCCCACAATACCATCATTTGTATCAAATCGCAAATAGCTCGTGAAATTGGCGAAACCCTATTTATAGTCTGTCCCAACTGTCATTATGCAAATCCATCAATTCGTCACAAAACCACAACAACCACTCTGGCTGAACATAAAACAGCCGCTGATCGTTGAACTGTTCTCTACTGTATATTATTGGCACTGCGCTTCTTCTTCTCTTCCTCCTCACCAAAACCGGTTTGTATTCTCGCCAGAGTTAGTTAGTGTATTATACGCCCGACTCGCTGCCATACAATGGTGTGCACGGTCGACTGTATATTATGTAGCTACATATGTATATATAAAATGACTGAAATCATCTTTTATAATCCGGAGAGCAGAAGAAATTTTACTTCATAAAAAGCGGCAAGCAGGCACCTATACGAAAAATCGCTCGGTGTTAAAGGTTTCGCCGAGCAAAATATAAGCAGCCATTTAAATACCCGCGGCGTTAAACACGTTAAATCGCCAATGTGAAAAGGTGATTAATTCGTTGCAGACATTTTCCTTACGATGACGTCCAAGGGAAAGTTCTTATAAAATTTCGTACCGAAATCAGAGATAACACCTCATTAAAAAAATAACAATTTAATTTTTTTCAAGTTTAGAAATTTGGAAAATAAATTTTTTAAATGATCCTAATTCATCTCTACTTTTACAAATAAACAGTGGTTGAGGTAATCCATGGGGATTCTGAAAACTTTTCTTTTGCCGGCAGCACACGTTTGTTACACGCTCGCTCATTAAAATAAACAGATATTGAGCTGGAATGGGTGCTCTGAAAATGTCTTTAACCTTGGCGAAGTCGTGATTCGCATGAATAGTCTTTGTTTCAGCTGCGCTCGATTTGCATTATTTGTTTTCCGTTTTTATAACTGTAATGATTGGTATTGATTTATGCCCTTAGCGCGCATTGCTTTCTCTGCTAAATATTTGATTATTCCGGTGAGAGTTTTTTAATCTAACGGTGAGATGGCGAGACTCCTTTTTTTGAATAGCTCAATCAAGCACAAGGTGTGTAATAACTAATTTGCATGGCAAACTTTTCATCAAAATAAGAAGAGTCTGCCAAGTTGAGGTATTTATAAAAAAAAAATGAAGTGAAAATGCTCGTTAATTACAGATTTAAAAATAAAAATTTGATTTAGGAAATGTTTCTAGAATCCTATAAATATAATGTACAAAAATCATATAAATTTATGAGAGTATTTTTATGGAGTTGTCATAAAAATTAATTAAGAAATATTTATCAATAATGCTTATAATGAGAGGCAATTAAAATAAACTTATTAAAATCTTCAAAATCGACCAATCTTTATAACGATTTACAAATTTTAATTCATCACATTTAATATTGAACAGCTGAATTTTTGTTTTTAAAGGACAATATTATGAAGCTACAAGTCTCTAAAAAAAAAAATCAAAATAAAATGCTGCATCTACTGCAATTTATTTTAAAGATTCTATGGTGATACTGGGATAAATTTGAAAAACAAGAAAATTAAAATCTACCTCATGAAAACGTGATAATGATATTAATAATCACAATACAATTATTTCATCATTTTTTCAAATTAATCGTGAATGGCCTATACTTTTTTGCAAATAATTTTCAAGCTTCTTTTAATTGTTAATGTTAATTTAGTATTGGCTTTATTATATCCTTCAATCATAATCTTTAACCATTTTTAGTGATTCTCAAGAGCAAAAAGTATCAAAATAAATATGAGATTTTGTAAATATAATGAAATATCTTCTAAATATTAGTCAAATATTTAAATACATTGTCGTGATAATAGTCTAAGTGTTCAAATTCAGCGCAATAAGGATTTAACTAACATACCTCAATTAGTTAAACAAAACTGTTGATAAAAGTCTCTGCCTTCGCATTTGAATTAATTATTTTCCTGTTCGTAAACAAAGGCCTATGCGGCCTGCTATTTCAAATAATAATTATTTCGGTATTCGCCGGATAATTAATTATTCCACTCGGTTTAAAGGGGTGGCCAAACAATTAAATTCACTGTTCGCCGCCGAATCCCCGCAGGCGAAATTCGATCGACGCAGCACACACGGCGCGCAACACTCTCACGTGTAAATTTGTTTCCGGACACACTGGCTACCATACCTGCGTTGCTGGTGTTGGCAGAGGTGGTGCTGGAGACCAACTTGAGGCCCTGCTGCTCCAAGTGTCCGACGGTGGAGGAAACGGACGGCGCCGAGCTCGAAGGCGACTCGGGCGGCGGCGACTGTTGCGGCTGGTCGAAGAAGGCAAGTCCGAAGTCGGCGTTGGTGTCGAACGAGACGACCGTCTGGTGGTCGTCGGACGAGTTGATCTGCAGCTCCTCGTGGGCCAGGCTGTGGAACACGTTCATGGCGGGCCCTGCTGGACGCGGCCCTCGCGCTCATCACACTCGCGGCGCGCCAAGACTCGAGCGAGTCGCTCCTCGCACTCGGCAGACGGTCCCGTTGTTTCCCTTCCACGCCAACCTGCAGGCTGCCAAGTTCAATGCCCCCTGACGATGGATCTTTCTTCTTTTAGCGCGCGGTGCTCTTTCTCTCTCTACTCGACTTGCAGAGAGGCGCAGCCTGACCAACCGCGATCGCAGATTTTCACTCCAAATTTTCTAATTTTTTCTTCAGCTCAAATTTTATTGAATTTATTAAATTTTATAAATAACTGCAAAATGTTTCACTTTCATGCATTTTCCACACAAAAATTACTCTAATGATAATTTCTCTTTTTTCCTCTAAAAATTTGTAAGCCAAAAATTTAGCCCCAGAGAAGCAAAGTAGTCTAAAAATTACCCTTTTTTTACAGAAAATATTTTCAAGTTTGATAGAAGAGTAAAATGGAATTAGATATAGTTAAAGATCAATTTTGTTCAAAACTTCTAAAGTTTGCGACGGCACTGATTTTACACAGAGAAGTTTTATGTGGGGAAAGATGGCAATTGCTGATTATTTTTATAATCAATATTTTCCATTGTTTGAAGCGTGACTGCACTAAGTTTGTAGTTGGTGCAGAACTTCAAAGGTAGTTAAAACGCCTCTTTTTGTAAGAGAGAAACGTTCTCATCAAGAAGCTTTTCTTATTTAATCGTATCTGAATGTTGTGGATTGATGATAATAGTACTCTTTTTTTCTTATTTTAAGATTAAATTGTGGAATTGTACCACTGATTAGAGTTTTCCTCTGAAAATTTGAATCTGATTTTATTATTGGAAAGTTTGAAATAGTTGAAATGAAATTAACGTTTTCATCTTCAAATCAGAAACGTTTGCTTTTCTTCTTATGAATTATAAATAATACAAAGCATTATTGGTAAAATTTAGAATAATAGAGTATAATTTGGAAAAAATTTGACTTCTTCAAGAGAATTTCCCGATCGAATTCGAGTGTTAATTTATTTTGTATTCTTCAAGGGATTTATAATAAATTTTATTATATAATGATACCTTTTCCTGATGATAAAATACAAATATTACAAACACCATTTTGATGTGAAACAAATGTTCTCTTTTATGAATCATAATGATTTCACTTCAAGTTTTCAATGACTGGAATTTATTTTTTGAATCGTTTTATGAAAGAGAAATAATACTGGGAAATGATTTATAAAAAATCGTTGCCGGGATACGGATCAATTTGTTTTGATTTTTTTTTAATAGAAATGCAAAACAAACAAACATTTAGTGCCTCTACTGAACGTTAAATATCTCTTTAAAAACTTTTATCCAGCTTAAGAGTATTTCACGAAAGCAATTTGCTTATAATGCTTCACATTTTTCATCCACTTCAAATTGCTTTCATAAAAAGAGGAAAAATATAAAATTGAACAAATGATGGAAAATTTCCTCTTGAAACTCTGGCTGGTTTTCTGAAATTTGTCTATTTCTCTTTGTGCCTCTCTTTTTCTCTCTTCCAAATCTCATCTTTCCACTGGTCTCTCACTCTTCGTGCAGAGGTTCCACCGCACCTTGTTGTTTTTCATTAGAGTGTATAATAATATTTGATACAGTCCGTCCATCATATTTTTTGCATATAATATTCCTTTCTCCGTCTTCGCTTTATGTACTTCGAAAAGAAAATCAGAAAATCCTTCCTAGGAAAATCTTTTCAGCTCAAAAGGATCAATAAACTCTGCATTTTCCTTTATATTCCTTTTTTGAAATTCAATGAGAGAAAGAAACATTCATCCTTTCTTGGATTCGTATGATTTTGTTTGTCACAAATGTGCATAAATATATATCTTTGCTCTCGACCAGTCCGCACCGGTTTAATGTACTTATGGAAATGAACCTGTACGAAAAGAATCGTCATTACAAAATTTGTCACGAGTGCTTTTTCTTACTTTCTTTCTTTCAAACGGCAAAAAAATCTAATGAGCAGCCCTTTCCCGGAGCGGCCCAACTTTTCGTTAATTTCTCCCTCGCGTGACGCCGATTTTTGAATCGGAGAGCCAGCAGTGAAAAATCCTTTTCTTTATAGCGGAGAGTGGGCATGGGCACTCCTGCTTCATTTATTTTTTTCCCCTACTGATCGTTCCCTGCGCGAGAGTAGCCACAATAATTATACACTAACGAGTGGCAAAATGGTTCTCATTGTGACGGCCAATTTGAGAATTGGAACCGAATCGGCAATTTTTTTAGTCAACCGAGAACGTACAATTTTGGATTTTACGCGGCGACGAGTGTAATTTTAAATACAGCTCGCCCGTTCGAAATAAAGTCGATGCAGCTTTAAAGCTCATTAATTATTCTCGCGTCAAAGTGTGTTCGAATCGCGCCGAGTGTGTTTGCGTTCCATGTGTGTATTATTATTCTCCATCAGTCAATAACTCCTGCACTATTTACAGTGTTGCCACGCTCCAGGGTTCGGCTTTGCAATTATCTGAACCAGCGCCTATCAAAACACACGAGTGTCACTCTTGAAGGATCATAATAATACTTTTTGCAACGTAAGCGTCACTCGCAAGAAACTGTTCATTTTTAGCGTTGAAAAAATCCAGATTGAAACAGAAAGGAAGCTTTTAAAATGAATCGAAACTTAACCAGATTTTTTATGTTTAAAATTTATCTGGTAATTCATAGAACAATTAAAATTATAGACAGAAAAAAAATAATTTGAATTAAAAATGTTCGTTTCTTTGCTTAAACAAATGTTTTTTTTAATTCTTTGTGCCATATTGTTCAGATTTAAATTACATAATTATAATTTTATTTGCAATATTTAAAAAGGTTTATTTTAATAATATTATTTTTCAATGTCATTAAATTATTTGCTTAATTTATGTCAACATTGTGAACACTTCAAATGTATTAAATAATAAGTTACATTTATGAGTTTGCCAAAATGAATTCAATTTTCAATCTTAAACAATTATGTAAAAATTTTAAATTCAAATTTTAGTGATGCTATGATATCATAATAGAATTTTAACAATAAGAAAAGTAAAGATTTAATCAAAATAAACGGAGGAAGAGAAATCAGAACCCAAAATTTACGTGGCCAGAAATCAGCCATAATTAAACTTTCAATTTTTTTTTAGACAAAACTTTAAGCCTGCTCTCTGCAAATCTATATGAATCTTGAAAAAGTTACAGCATGTCTTTTAATAATATTTTTGTTATATTATTTTAATATTTTAAAAACCACCGTCATTTCAAGAGGAAATTAATTTCTGCAACACTTCATTCTAAAATTAAAACGAACCGTAATCAAGAGCGAAAAAACAAAATTCCCCTTTTAATTTATTCAGAATTTTGGCCTGAGCAAAAATTCTAAAAGGATCAAGATTCCTATGATTTATTATTATACAAAAATTAATAATGTACCCCAGTTTATTCTATTATCTCGATTTGGCTTTCAAGTTGATATTGGCAAGAGAGAGTGCGTTTTCCGTTCGCCTCCTCATCTATTATTTCATAAAATATTGATTTCCTTTAAACACGCATCTCGCGAGAGAACGGCGGCGGCGGCGGCAAATCCCCGAGCGCTGCCGCGGCTGCTGCCCGCCCGAGGAAGTGAGTTGCTGACGACGAGATCACAGAATCCCTACAGAGCAATTTCCTTTTTTCTCAGCTTTGTACGTGCACACGCTCGCACACCTCGCTCCGTATATAGCGCACTTAATGGGCTTTGGCAAATAACAAAAGGGGATCGAGATTATTCGCTGCCGCCGGATAACGAGGGCAGCTTAACAATAACAAGCGCCCGACGTGCGAAATTTCAAATTTGTCTGGTTGGTCCGGTCCGAAATTTAAAGAAAAGATTTTTATCTTTTTTAAAAATTTCAGCTGCTAAATAAAATTTAAGATGGGCTTCTGTTAAAAACGATTCTGGTATAATGATGGTTTTTTTTATTTGATTTAAAATGAGACAATTTTTGAGTTCCATATTTGAATAAAATAAAAAATATTTTCTTGACTAAATCGAACCGAATAAATTTCATCAAACCAAGTTCATATTATTTTGTTTTGAAAACAATGCCTAAATTTACATTGATTAATGGGTAATGGGCATTGTTTCAGTTAACATTTTCTCATTATCCGCATGTGGATGCAACAAGTTAGAATAAGTGCGAAATTAAGTTTCAAATTTTTTCTTGATATTTTGCAGGAAATTTCTTAATCCAAAATGTTTAAATGGAAATAAATATCCAATTTGTAATATCTTCCATAATTAATAAAATTATCTACCCTTAATTAAGGGATCATTATTTGCAAATGTAGTCAAATCAAATCCTTAAACAATTTGGGAGCAAAGTTTTGTAATTATTTAAAATTTTAACATACGTTGTTATATTAAATCTCTCAACATTTTCCTTTACCTCATAGTTTACTTCTTTAGTACTTGACCTAATTTTTATATTTTCCGCGTTCTTAATTCAGCAGGATTCAGAGGCTTTTCAAAATGAATGCCTGCGCTTATTGCGCTTGGAGTGCAACATATGTTTTTAAAGGGTTTATTTTATTTATTTTTTCATAATTTTTCTTCCACAGCTCTATGATATTTCTTCTCTCATTCTCAGCTCTGCGAGTTTCATGCATACGAAGTCAATCAGCGTAAGAGCAAACCATGAATAAAATCCCACCTGAATATATAAAACCAAAAGAGGGAGGAAAAATCGCGCGGAAAAAGCTGCTGCTGCGGAGAAGAGTCGCGTTGGGGATGCGTGTATAAATATACACACTTTTGAAAGTGGGTACGCGAAAAAGCATCACCGAGTGAGAGGCTCCTCCGAGCTTTTCTTAAATTCACAATGAAGAAGACATCTTCTCGCGAGCGCGCACCTCCTTTTTCCCTCTGCCGCTTGGCCCCTTGATATTAGGCAGCAGAAAAGAAGTATACGTCGTGTATATGTACTTAATGCGTGTGTGTGCGAACAGAACACTCACTGCGAGAACAGACGCTGACAGGTACACACGAAAATCGATAAAGAATAACAACGAG